CCACACACGCAAACGTTTACAGACACCCGTGGCTACGCATGACACGCACCGTGGTTTCTGCACTGATGCAGGTCGCTGCGGCTGCCAAGGACGAGGCCGGGCTGGACGGTAGCTGCCCGCAGCTGCCCGCGTGACCCTGCCCTCCAGGCTGTCCTCAGGCGAGTCCCACAGTTTGTTTACACCCAAGGCGGGGACTGAGGTTCAAGGTGCCAATTGCAGAGGCTGATCAGCTGACCTTACATGCGGTGGGGGTGACCCATGAAGCCAGGGCACAAAGCTGGGTGGAGGCAGCGTGACCCCCGGGATGCAGAACCCACGCCCTCAGCCCGCACCCCCGCCAGGCGCACGGGGACGGGAGGACACGGGGGTGGGGACACGTCAGGCTGTGTGAGAGCAGCCACTCCCCCCGGGGATGAACACTGCCGACTCCTCTGGCAGGAAATGGCCAGAATGCGTGAGCTCGTAGGGGCAGAAAGGCGATTCGAGGCCGCGAGCTGGGCTGGGGACGGGAGGGCACGTGAGCGGCTGCCGGCTGGGCACGGGGTTCCAACGGCAGTGACGGTGGCCGTGATGCCCCTGATGCATACACGGAAAAAAGGCTCGGATGATGACCTTCGTGTTCTACAGATTTTACGGCAATCAAACAAAAATTGTTGCTGTAAAAAGCTGACGGAGCCGCGTGGCCACCGTCACAGAGTCTGCAGGACACGGAGGAGCCCAAGGCCGCACGGACATCGCACCAGATGGGGCCACTCTCGCTAGAGCGTGAAGGACACCCACGGAATATTCCAGAAGGGCGACCGCAGACACGGGAACCGGGAGCTGAAGACAGCGTCCCTCGGAAGTGGCCGTGCTGCCCAGCGACACGCAGGTGTCCACGCACCTGCCGTCTGCCTGACCACGGAGCCTTCAGAGTGGACGGGGTCTGGGGGCAGCAGTTGGACACCGGTCAAGACACCTTCACGTGACAGTGACGAAGGACAGGCAGAGAGACAGGGGTGTCGCTGCGCAGGGGGCAGGCAGGCAGAGCCGACGCCGGGACGCAGTGGGGAGACAGTCTTGAAACTCCGAACGCATGGCCTGTCCTTCGTCGCCAAAGTGTCCGTGTCCGTGTCCTGGCCTCAGAGCTGGCCAGCCAGAGCCGCCCGGAGAGACGGCCCAGGGCGCCTTTGCGGGAACTCTGACGAGACAGAGGCGCTGTCTGCTGCGTGACGTTGCACCAGTGGAATGGGCTCGACTGTGTCCCCAGACAGACACACACACACACACACACACACACACTCACACACCAAGTTCACGTGGAGCTCTCGATCTCTAGGACTTCAGAACGTGGCGGGATGCAGAGTCGGGTCTTTGCAGATGGGATGAAGGGACAAGAAGGTGGCCCTGATCCCACGGGACTGTGTCCTTGTAAGAGATGAGGACACAGACACACAGAAGGACCACGTGAGCACACGGGGAGGGGACGGCGTCCACACGCAGAGGGGCCCCAGGAGGGACCGGCCCCGCCCACACCTGCATCTCGGACGTCCACCTCCAGCACGGGGACGGATCGGTGTCTGTGGCTCGAGCCGCCCGGTCCTCAGACTTCGTTTCTCTGAACGACGAACAGAACACGTGGACGGAGCGGGACGCGGACTCGGCTCCGCACGAACTGTTTCTCAGGCACGAGGCGGGCAGGACGTCGGCGCTGGCCCCTCATGAGGCGCCTCCCGTGCCAGCTGGGACGGCGTCACCCTCCCGGGGCCCCTCTTGCAGGAGGCTGCCCTCTCGGACGCCCAGACCGCAGCACACACAACCCACGCCTTGGCTCCTGTGCCCACGGAAGCTCGGCTGAGTCACCATGAGGCACAGGAAGCAGGTGTGAGACCGACGTCACGTCGTCGTGCAGGTGGCCGACGCACGGTGGGCCAGGGAAGGCTGGCCCCACACACGGGGAGCTTGGGGACGTCCACTAAGGGAGGCAGGGTGTGGCCGCCTCCACCGAGAAGGGACCCAGTCACGGGAAGGGAGGCAGGTGACCGAGGGCTGTCAGCTGAAAGTCTGGGTCTCCCCCAAATGTGCATGTCGCAGCCCTAACCCGACACGGGAGGTCAGCGGAGGTGGCTCTTTGAGAGGCCATCAGGACCAGGTGAGGATGAGAGGGCGGAACCCCCACAACGCGGTGTGTGTCCTTACGAGAGTCACATGACCACGTGCTGCCCCTCTGTCCGCTGTCCACCGTGGCATTGGGTTTGGGGCTACGCGTGTCCACCCCACTCTGCTCAGCCCTTAACGACCTGCCCCTGCTAAGCCCGTGTGCAGATCCGTCCCGGTCTGAGGTTCGCAGAGGACGTGAGCTGGCGGAGGCGACTCTCGCGAATGTGCCCGGCGTCTGAGCGACCATCGCTGTCCCCACCCTCAGCGCACCTGTCTGCCCTCGGTCTGTCCTCGAGTCATCTTTGTCACCCCGTGTTTTCCTTACATGGCCCCTTCCTGCTCCGTCCCGCCCCTCCCAGCGGCCTCTGCAGCCCGCACGGGTGGAACGTGGGAACGAGCACGCGGCTGCGGAGGGACGGCACCGAGCGGGCGCGCACGGGGGAGGGGAAGCAGGCCGCTGGCGGCCACTGGCGGGGGATGGCGTTCTGCGTGCCGCTGCCTCCCTCGGTTTCCACGGGGGCCCCCGAGGGCGATAAGCCTGGCTGACTTCTGCACTAGGCAACGTACGCGCACATGACTGTGTCGTCCGCAGGCTCGGCGGCGGCTCAGAGCTGCGGATTCCACCCTGTGGGTGTGCTCGGGAGGCTCAAGTGTGCTCACGTGCGCTCACGTGTGGTCATGTGTGGTCATGTGTGCTCAGGTGGCTCAGGTATGGTAAGGTGTGCTCAGATGGCTCAGGTGTGCTCAGGTGTAATCAGGTGGCTCAGCTGTGCTCATGTATGCTGAGGTAGTTCATCAGTGGTCACGTGCACTCATGTGGCTCAGGTATCCTCAGGTGGCTCATCTGTGGTCACATGTGCTTAGGTGGCTCAGGTGTCTCAGGTGTGCTTAGGTGTGTTCATGTGTGCTCATCTGTGGTCATGTGCGCTCAGGTGTGGTTATGTATGCTCAGGTGTCTCAGGTGTGCTCACATGTGCTCATGTGGCTCAGGTGTGCTCAGGTGGCTCAGGTATGCTCAGATGGCTCATGTGTGCTCGGGTGGCTCATCTGTGGTCACGTGTGCTCAGGTGGCTCAGGTGGCTCAGGTGGCTCAGGTGTGCAGCGTGATGCTGCAGGGTCAGCGGCAGCCCAGGTCGCAGGCAGAGACAAAGGGGT